AAAAAATAAAAACATTAGAAATTATATTAAAAAATGTCAGCAAGTGACGTTAAAGTCAGTACGGTAATTCCATCAAACATAACATTTCTTTTATCGAATTATATAGTAATATAATTGTGATAGACAAAAACAACCGAGGCACCTGTCAAGGCGGGAATGTTTGTTTGAATGTTTGAATTCACACTGTTTGCTCCTGGATAAGCGTGCAAGCAAAGCTAACTACATCAGTCAGTCTATCTATTTTTTTAACTTGGTCATTACTCTTTATTTTAGGGAGAATCGAAAGTGGTACGTTAAGGGGCGTAACTTTGTGTACACACCACTACCACGTAAGTAAGGCAACATTTCAGTTTGGTCATATAAGGAAGGAAGAATTTGGTCATATAAGGAAGGAAGAATTTGGTCATATAAGGAAGGAAGAATTTGGTCATATAAGGAAGGAAGAATTGCTTTGAATTTTCAAGAGAAAGCTCTTAAAATGACGAAAGATAAGAATTTTTGAACTTACTTCTGTTTTTATTTGCTCGTCTAATAATACAAGGCTTACCGGTCATACAAAATGCGTTGTCACCGTTTTAACTTCTATCTTTCTGAAACGTCGCATTTTTGTCATCATTGATATATTATTCGATAATTCCTGTATTCTAAAATTCATACTAGTGTAATATTCGTCTATTGGTTTTTCAGAAATACAGTCGACGCCTCGATCCTATCAGTACCGGTGYTYACTTGTAAAGACATAAARACAATAACAACGTCATTTGCATMAAAGTGTTTTTAAAATCGCCAGAAAGAGTTTTAATTCTAAAACTTGATAAACAGTACAGCAAATTAAATGTGATTGACATTGTAAAGAAGTTTTGGAACTTAATGTTGAATATTCTTGCAAATAATTTTCCATATGATATGTGTAAATGACTTTGTTATCAGTTGATATCGTCTTTATAACTGAACAACGTTAAAGGGGTTGACTTTATCATTGTATGTCTTGATTGATGTTTTCTAGACTTCAAGTATTCAGTGGCCATTTTATCTACCGTTGTCGTTGCCGGTGTAATAATTTATCAGGTAAGGTAAGCTTATTGAAATTTAGAGCCCCTTCAGCTACGTAGTGCAGTGATCCTATCATTAAAGAATACCAACCAACCTGTATAGCGCGCACTCTTAAATATCATTTATAGTACCTGTTAGGTGCTTAGTTAAAGGTATTCTGTCCAAACTGAAAGGACGGAAGACGATTCGCGCTCACTTACGCGCTCAAGTCGGTTAGTTGTGATTCTTAAAACTGAAAAATTTCCTATCGATGTCAAAGAAATCTATGTTGTTTGAAGCTTAAAAATAGATATTAATGTTATAACAAATAAYTCTTCGTGTGCAACCACATTTTCAGGAATCCCCTAAGAAATAAAGAACAAAGCTATCGCCCCCATGTTGGATGAATGAACAAGAGGAACTAATGAGGAATGCTTTGTGATTTTTTTCTCGTTTTTTTAACTATAGTTATTGATTGCTGCCGGAGGAATATTCGTAGGACTCATAGTGGCATATAGAAGCGCTATTGTTAACGACCRCTGGACTTACATTCTGATGTATGGGTTTGAGACGTATGAGCTCATTTTAAAGTTCGTGGACATATCAATTGGTGAGTGAAAACTACAGTCGTTATAGAGTGGTGTTATTGATGTATAATAAAATAGAAACGGGGATGGATGAATAGATGAATCAATAGTCAACTTTAGATATCTTGGTTCGATGACTATTTACAAAAGAACGCACACGAGTCTCCGGGAAAACAATGGATAATCTTAATTCATCCTTTTCTTTCCCTGGAGCCTCCTCTGCATTTCGTTTGTGCATGGTCACTAAATCACAATGTCTAAAGTCGGCTATTGATGGATTGATGGCGGAATAAAGGATTTAATTAATGGATAAACAGTGAAATATTTAAGTGATTCTAACTCTAATGAATAAAATGATTGTCGATACGTAGAGCAACAACTCTGGACAAATATCTTGTTTTTCAGTATCGTTTGTTGTCTCCCTGGTTGTGTCAGCTTTGTTTATGTTCTTCCAAATGTATCGAATGYTGGTCAGTCACAGGTAAAAATACTTATGTGTTTTGGATGATCCATAATTTGACGGACATCGTGCAATCATAATCAGCAGCTGCATTCGATGATCCCCATTAAACAGGTTGTGGTCCAGGGGCAGACCCAAGGCAGGGTGAGGGGAAAGGGGGTTTGGGGAGGGAGGTTGAGGTTGCCATATCATTTAAASAAACGGATCGAGTATGATTTTACGTTTTATTTCTAGAGTGTTGAAACGCTTGCGAAACAAAAAAGGTTCCTAACAGTTATAAATTTACACTTTAACTGAGACAGTTAACTAACAGGGGGTGTACTTTACATTTTTAAGATTTATGCAAAAAAACAAACAAAACAAACAAAACAGTAAGCCAAAAAAATAAAGTGTTTCATCTCTCAAAGTAGTGGCGAATGGTGGTAAAATCCGAGATCCGTCGAGACGCCGAGATCGCTGTTTTAAAATCCAAGGTCGAGATTTTAAACATTTCCAAATTCCGAGAAGCGTGATTAATGTTTTTATGTTCTTATGAACACTCCTTCCTTAAAAATTTATTGGTCCGACCTGTCGACACATGATTTTCATCTCTATGTTTCATTTCAAGCACGTTTTTATTGCTAGGAACCACGTGATCAAGCTCATCAAAGGAGACCGACGTTTTCTTCCAAGTAATGTTAGCGCACCGCATATCATGGTGGTAAGTAATGTTCATGTCAGTAAAACGTGGTCATTTGACTGGTGCAAACATTAAAATATAGTTCATGAGCCAACAAGTAATTTTTTAAATATAGAAGAGCCTTTTAAAATCATTAAAACACTTAAAAGAATTCTCARAAATGTCATAAGGAGGTTATTGAAGGTTAAGTTTCTGTACGAAATTAGGGTTATCAGTTGTTACTCCACTGCCACTGGAAAACATTGCGCTGTAAAATTGATGTGAAAACGATGTAAATATCATGTAAGTAATATTTACATTATCTTGGATATTTACGGAATGTTTACAACCTTTGTAAATATTATGGAAATTGAATTTACATCGTATTTCCATTAAATTTACAACCTTCAAGGAGCGCGATTTTTTCCAGTACTGTCGATTTATAAGAAGTTTTATATTTTTGAATGATATGACTCAGAAGATCTA